GATGTGTGTTTCTGTATCACCTAGCTAACTATGAGTTGTGTCCCAAGTCCCTTCTGCTCTTCCTCCTCCCCTTTTTCTCCCATGACTCCTTGAGTACACAGGCTAGGAGACTCTTAGGACTGGTGTCTTAGGGCAGGGGTATGAAGCTTCTTCTCATTTTGTTTTTAATTTATGGCTTAGCAGATATTTTGTTGCAGAACAATGCTATGATCTATAAAACCATCATAAAAAATTAAAATAGAGGTTTTCATGGCCAGAGCGAAGATGATGTTGGACTTTGGCATCAAGACTCATGTGAATTGGGTGTTTACTAGCCAGTATCCATTGTTTTATAAAGAAGGGATGATATAATGGTGATGACCAACCTGCAAAATGTTGAGTATATGGTTCTTAGCGGTGCTTTATGTGAAATTCAGGTCAGCGAGCAAAATCAGCACAATGTACCTTTCTGGTTCTTTTTATAAAATGATTATAGGGTCATAAACAGTTTTGGTTTTGGCTTTTCATTGGTAAGAAGTGTTGTATTATGTTGTGTTATGGCATTCACCTAAATGATTTTCTACATAGTTCTTTGGACTTCAGAATAGGTAACTTGTTCATCTGTCCTGATGCTTGTTCACTTTGCTTACTCTTACATCATGCATTCTTTTGTATTGCAGCTAAAAAATCCAGCCTGTGGTGCTGCATTGTATTCTCAAAATTTTATCAAGTGAGTGAGCTAGTGGGCAGGAAGACTTCTGCTACAGCTCAAAGGCCTGATGCTCTTTCTCCTACCCTTAACAACTAGGAGGCATCTTAGAGGGAAGAGCAGCTGTTTAGTAACAGAACTTCCCTTTTACTGCCAGCAAACTAATACATCCATAAAAATAGTGTTCTTAGTGTATTCTTTTAAGAGAATAAAATGAGCCACCTAGTTCTACTGTTGATCCATTTGCTGTTGATGAGTGGAAATATTTGTCAGAAACATGTGGCAAGGTTACAATCTACTTTTGAGTGTTTGTGGAGTTTTTGTCTTTTCCCTTCATTTTTTTCCCAGTGAAGAGGAGAAAAATGGAAAAGGAATTGCAGTCACTTGGGAGCACTAGTTCTTTTTAAGAAGAGCAGCTTCTGTAGCAGAGTGATTTCCACCCCCAACTCCCTTTGATTTTTGGAGGAAAAATGATGCAAACTGTGTGAGGGAGAACTGTGGTAATTGGAAGGGTGACAGAAGATGGTCGGGGAGTGGAAGCGTGCTGGTGTGAACCATTTGCTGTATGTATGGGAATAAGCAATAGGAATTCTAATTTAGAGATACAACCCACATCCTTCTGGTCCCCTTGGGCTAAAGTATTTCTGAATGAAATAAAAATGATTTCTTTCTTGAAATTTGTTTTCTCTTGTTCTGTATTTTAGATCTGTTTTGTTCTAACTGACATTTAGTGTTTTGTAAACTACCCCTAATTCACACAAGAATAAGTTAAAAAAGAAGACTTTTATGTAGAATCACTTTAGGGTTAGGTTGTTTTGGTGTTTGCTTTGGGTTTTTTTATTACAGTATGTACATACAATACAAGACGTCATGTTTCATTTGCTTTCACCATTTTTCTTTTTTTTTTTTTTTTTTTTTTTTTTTTTTGTGCTATTGCATAATGGCAACTTTATTGTTTGAAGATAGGTACGATTCTATTGTTTTCACTGTTAGTATGTTTCTAAATTGGTATCTGTATCCTTTTAGAGCTGAGGGAAGATGGTTTCCAGCCTCCAAGCTATTTAGTGCAAGGAGTGAAGGCTTTACTTACTGCTTTAAAATTATGGATGAAAAAAGAAGTAAGTATAAGTGATTTTGTCTGCTATTTTGGTGAACTCTGTTTTGATTTAGAACTGAAAGTCTGTGTCTGTTTAAAGTTTAAGATTATTTTTATGTGTTAATGAGTACTGGAAGATCTATGGAGACTATGACTGCTGATCTGGGCAAGACTCATCATGACCATTTTATATTCCATGCTGCTAGTACCATCTTTCTAGACCAATTAATAAACTCATGTATTGTAGCTGAGAATTAGAATCTTGCTTCACCTCAGGTTGGGATAAGAATGCTAGAGGATAAGATGATAGGGTGGGGCTTTTTTCTAACAGATCTGTTTATATAGTTTATTCATCCTAGTCTGAGGCAATGGAGGGATGGAATGCCCTGCCTGATATTTAGCATTTTCCATTAATGTGCTCTGGAGGGCACATTTCAGGTACACCTTTATTGCTGAAGGCTCAGTTTCGGTTCATGTGAAGATATTAACTTCAGTGGAGTACTGAAAACTTGTAAAATCATTAATATGTTGTCTATACTGACTTTGCTGCTCTGCTCTCCAGGAAAGCTTCTTTGTTTTGGCACAACACTGAGGCTGGCCTAACTCCATGTGTCTTTTCTGGTGACTGAGCTAATAAGCCCTTGTGGAACCTATGCTTCTGGGAAGTGCTGTTCACTGATAGGCAGTTTGGTTCTGACTGAGCTAATTAATTCTAGTTTGTTGCTGGCCTTACTGACTTGAACTGGCCCTTGCAGATCTGTTTGGTCTTTCTGCCCACAAGTTTTCTGTGTAAGAGAACTTGCTATACAACAGTGGTGCATAGTGATGGATTCCCCAACACTGGACACTTTTTAAGATTCAGCTGGACAGGGTGTTGGTCTGTCCTGTCTAGACAGTGCTTTTGCCAAGAAAGGTTGAACCAAACTGATCCTCAAGGTTCTTCCCAACTTGGTATTCCATGATTCTGTGAACAGGTATGATGCACAATGCTGCATCCAACATAATGTGCTTCATGGAACTAAACATGAGGTGCAAATGCAGAGGTGGTTACTCTGTGTGGAATCCACTGGGGTCCAGCCTGTGCAGCATTACTGCTTCCAGGTGAACTTTGCTGGCCCTCTGTTAGGCCTCTGTGTTGGTTCTCAAGTGTCTCTTTGTCGCTGCCATTCTGGATCAAAGCTAGCTAGTAAACAGTGTGGTAGTATTTACAGGATGTTGTGCCTAAGCTGTTACACCATGTGTGCATTCAAGCTATCTCTGCATCAACAGCATGGATAAAGCAGCAAGACAAGTAATCATCTGCTGATAACTGGGATCAAACATAGCCTGTATAAATCCTTATGTTAATTTGAAGTTGGGTTTGGAATTCCTCTTTTCTAGATTGCTGTAGTGTAGTTTTGCAGCATTTGTGTACTGGCTAGTTGCTCATTAAGTAGTTTGGTTAATAATTCATCTACAGTGTGATAGATTGCCTACTCTTCTGTGGAATAAAATTGCACATGCTGCATTCTGAGTTCTTATTAATGAGACTTGTGAGTGTTCCCAAACCACTGGCTGAACAGACACTTCAACTGTGAGGAAACTGCACTGCATCAGTGACCTGATGACAGTGCTGGCTGCTGTCCACCAGCTATTATGTTGTGTACTTTGCCTTCATCTTGTCTAGCTACTGCTTTGTAAGTGAGCTGATATTCTCTTTGCAGCAGGCTGTGGACGTGATAGGCTTGTAGCTGTGTGCAACTGAAGATGGGAGTTTTGTACATTGCTGTATGACCTGCTCGTGCTGGGGGGTTCAGACAGACTCTGAAAAAGAAATGACAAATAAATACTCCTCAAATGAGAAACCTGCTCCTGAGGTTTCCCATTTTTATCATGGACTATGTCTTTTCAAGACATATGTGAGAACTATCTTAGTGAATAGTTTTAAACTATTTGCTGGAAAGATTCAAGCTCTTCTTTAGCAAGGCAGCTGTATCTTCGTTTCTGCAATACTTAAAAAAAACTACCGAAAAGTACAAAATGCTGAGAATAGAGATGGGGTGCTAAAATTGTTTTAGTTTTCATGTCTTGATTTGAATTCAGTTTATGCAAGGCTTTTATCAATATGCGTGTCTTCTGATTACTTTGGTGCAGGTTGTCAGCCTGCACGTTAGTTAATATACACAATAATGATGATGAGCTATCCAGTCATCTGAGCTCTTGGATTTTAGTTCTGGCTTCCTTCCAGCTTGTGTAAGCAACAGGTCTCAGATGCAATTTTTCAGATGTTTGATTCATATAAGAATAAGTATCTTCATGTAAGATTATTTTGGGCAACTGTTCTTTGTCTTAAAAAAAGATAGTAGTAGCTGTTGTAAAAGGAAAAAAAATGCTTGCATTTTTCTGAGGAGGGAAGAATGTGAGGTTTATTATTTTTATTTTATATTCATTTTTTTTGTGTGTGTTTCTAAGTATTAATATAGTTCATTGTGGTGCTAGTCTCCAAAGTTGGGTAGATATATTTCCCTACCAGGAATTTTAAAAATCTCTATATCTGGATTTAAGCAGTTTGTTTCTTTTCCTCTGTATATTTGCAACCTTTGCCAAACCATTTCTTGAAGCTCTTGAATGAATCGTGTCTTTTCTTTACCTGCAATTTACATCTGACATACTTAGGCCGTTTTGTTGCTTTTCTTCTCCCTAGTATAGTTTGAGAGAATTGCTCAGTTCCAAGGGCTGCTTGTTCCTTTTCCAAGAACCAGCACGCAGAGACAACTTAAACCCAAGTTATTTAATAATGATAGTAATTTTTCATATGTGGCATTTGTAGGTATTCATATTTCCTGCCCATCCTTTCCTTCTGTCAGACTGTCAGGTTATATATCCATTGGAATTTATTAGCATATTTTAAGTTGCTTGGAAGGATATTAAAAAATAAAACACCAACAAACCATGTCTTAATTGAGAAAGTTTTGGTGTAAATCGATAACTTTTTTTGTGGTGGCAAACAAGTGAGCTTGCCAGCAGAACTTAACTTTGCTCAAACAGTTACTGTAAATCATACTAGCAAAATTATGTGCTTCTGATGTAGTCTGTGTTAGAAAGGCTTTTCAGTATTTTTAAAGTAGAGAAACTTTGAAGTTGGTGTTTGGGAGGGTTGCATCAGTCACTTTCTCTTGAAGTCTTCATGAACAGAAGGTTTTTTGGGAGGGGGAAGTCCTTAAGTAGAAAGGACTGAATGGTCCTAAAATGATCAGTAACTTCCTGGAAAAATTATACAGTCTAGTGACAGACGTGCTGAGTTCCCAAGTGGGAATGTCTAGAGGTGATGCATTCAAAGAATGAACAGTGGTAAATAATATCAGCTGATTTAATCATTCCTCTAGAATTAATGGCACAGAAATGAATGATTGTACTGTGCTTATATGTCTGTGTTGGTTTTCTGGGCAGCAGAGAGAGCATTTGTTTTAATGACTGAGAGAAAGCCAGGTTCAATGAAATGCACAAACAGTATCAAATTACTTCTGGCAATAATTTTGCTGCTGAATCTCAGTTTTGAAATGTGGGTAGCTGAAAGTGATTGTGGGATGGTTTTCCATTTACATAGTTGATGAAGGGGATAGCACAATTGATATCAGTCATTCTGGTCTATGTGTGAGTGCTCTTTTCTCTAAGTCTAACGGAAAGTGTTTTGAGGCATATTTAAACTATACATACAAAATATGAAACATTTTTTACTAGATCTAACTGTAGAGTATTTAGACTTACTTAGATTGGTGTTACATATATATGAAATCAGTCTCTGATACTGCTTCAAAAGGAAACAAACTGTTAACAGTTTCCTAAATTTTTTTAGAGGGAATAGCTTTTTTGAATCACTTTCTGTAACATATCAGATTCTGAATAAGCTAAGAAGGTAATTTTAAAGTGAGGTAGATATATAAAAATCTGCATGTTTGTTACTGATTATTATTCTTGATTTGTTCTTTAAATTGTTTGCTATAGTGAAATTCTTAGTCTTTAGCGATTTTGAAGCTCATGACAAATGAATTTCTGAAATGTGAATCTATACTGACCATGCTGAAGGAGAAAAAGAAACTGATTACTGTATGGAGAGGACGAAGAAAAATCAGGTGTTTGTCAGTATGGCTCTGTGTCACCCATCCTCTGAATTCTTGGAAACATTGAATGTTATCTGCTTCCTTCTACAGCTTGGACTGGAAGCTTCAGTGTGTGTGTCTGTCCCAGCAGTTTGCAGTCATGATTACAGAAATTAATCTGTTTGTTTCCTTTTTTCCCTGTACATTTGTTTATTTCATATTCCTCTTTTATCTGAAAAAAAATCAATTAAGTATCTTTTCTTCCACATTTGCACACAGCTTGTAACAGAACACGCCTTTGAAATTCCAGACAACATTAGGCCTGGGCATCTCATAAAAGAGCTCTCAAAAGTGATTCGTTCAGTAGAGGTAAGAACAGAGGCAACCCTATATAAGCCTTCAGAAAAAAAATCTTTGAATCAGGGAATTCTGTAGTAGTTATGCTTTTGATTGACCTTATTAACCTTTTAATGTATTTAACATTCATTTAATAATAGAAGATCAAGAGGAAAACTGTTGGGAATACTATGGATATTTCAGATAAAGAAAATGTATAGCGAGGGTGTTGTATGTGTTTGGTTTTTTTTTTTGTATTTTTAACAGTGAAATTATTTGTAGGTCAGTATTTCTAAAATGTTCTAAAGTATAACTACTCACAGTAATTACTGTGAACATGTTGTTAAAGAGTTTAATCTGAGATTCTATACATATTACATTCTCCTACCCTCTTGTTTGTTAGTTCTGGTCCAGCTGTCATCGCATTTGTTCTTTTTCCTGTATTTTTTCACTATTTGTTATATAGTCAGTGTGTTTCTTTCTTGTTTCCCCTCCTATACCACTAGTGGTTTTGCTTCTTTATTTCTTAATGAATATTGATTCTTGAAAGATTTTCCCATTTGCATGTGGAGAGAACAGTTCTGAGAACTGAAGAGAAATGTGATCTGTTGGGTACAATGCATGGTTACCATATGCTGCCTTCATGAATAAAACCTTATGTTTTGGTGGTAACTTTTGGTGTTAAGCATTACTGTTATGGGAGGGTATAAAAGCCCCAAATGGGAACAAGGTGGAGTAGAACTAAAGTTTGTACATCAAATCATAGGAAATATGTAGAATTCTCTAAAAGATCTAACAATTTTATTTATAAAATTTACATTTAATTAGGTGAATAAGAAGCAGCACTTAAATTTGTGAATTTATTCCTCTGAGACTATTCTGAAGTATGTGTTTTTAATTAAAGGAGGAAAACAACAAACCAGTTAAAACTCAGGGAATTCTTGGTGTGTGTGCAACTTCACGGTCTTCACATGAAACAACTTCCCCTCACCACTCCAGACGAAGGGTGAGGAAACTGCGAGACCATGCGACTAAAACTCCTTCTAACCTGGACATCCTGGAACTCCACACCAGGGAGGTACTGAAGAGGCTGGAGATGTCACCGTGGGAGGAGGCAAGTACTAAGTTATGTGTGAGAAAAAAAACAGAGTAGATTTCTGATCGTTGTTGAAAAGGGAAAAGCTTTTAACATGCATAAGAATACAGGCTACTACTGTCATTTGAGACATAGATAGATTTGAGTTTTCCTGACAGGAATTTCTCGCTTTCTTGGTAAATTTTATTTATTTTTTTTTTTTAAATTCCTTCAGTTTTCCGGTTAAGAAATTGCCCTGAATCTGCTACCTACTTCAAATATAGTTTTTGAATTAGGACTGCTGTAGCTATGAAGTGCTACTTTGAATCTGTTCTATGAAGAAAAAGGAGCTTGCAAAGCCTTGTTTTGCTGAGGCTCTGAGCCTGCTTCTCTGTGTGCTTTTAGATGGCTTTTTCTTGCAATTACTATAATTTGATTAACCTTGTTTTTTTTGTCATGTTCCTGTTTCCTGTGTGACTACCAGTAGTAAGCCTAAGGCTGCCTTTGGTCTACATTGTGGGGCTGTGGACTTTGTGGTTTTATGACAAAGGTGTCATGGAGCGAATGAGTGAAACACAGTCTATTGAAAAATTCATTTTTTCAGATTTGCTGACCTGACTTCAAAACACAGCAGCAGAAATGGGAGGAGTAAGAGAATGGAAATAAGTAGTTTTATGAAAGGAAATAGGTAGCTTGCTGAGAATAAAAAATGTTGACAAATTTAGTTGGGACAGGATGAACTGTAATAGTGGAGAAATACTGATTTGGGTCTTTATATTGATCTTCATAAAACGTGAACGAAAGACATTCATTTAACTCCCAAAGACGGGAAGTTGAACTTAGAATTTACCACAAAGAGTTAACTTATGCGGTTCATGGCTAAACCAATGCTTAGGAGTATTAGTCATTTTCACTTGATGTAGAAATAGATAGTGTTTACTATCAGTATTGACCTGTTTAAAAAAAAAAAAGTAAATTTATACATTCCTGGTTTGGCACATAAACGTATTGTGGATTGCTTCAGAGCATATGTCAGATGCAAATTGCTTTGAGCTAAGTTCTGCTTGTGGCAGGTTACTTTCTATTATTGATGTTTTACTATAAATCAGTTCTGGGATACTAATTCCAAGGACCACATACCCAGTCCAGGAGTTGCCTTATCAGTTCCAAGCCCAGTTTTTGGCTTGCTTGTCTCTTTCGGTATCTCTGTGTTTTGAAGACAGTGATAATTCTCCAAAGGAGGCACAGAAGGAGTTTTATAGTGAAGTTGTACTTGTTTCAGGCACTTCAGGAGAGCATAGATGATTCAAGGAAGAAGAAAATGCCTTCTGCTGTTTTTCACATCCAGACATGTTTTGTCTGAGCTTTCTTCAGTTGGCTAGCAGGAGGGTAACGGTCCTAGTGCTGAGTTTAAGCTTTTGTGGAGTGCAGAAAAAACCAACCAAATTTATAGACATAAATAATAAGCAGCATTGTGTTTTATTTCTTTAGGATATCTCAAGCCCAAAGCTGAATGGGAGATTTAACAAGCCCTTTCAGCCATCTTCTACAGTACCTGAATGGCGAACAAAAGACAATGATCTTCGCCTTCTGCTGTCAAATGGGAGAATAATAAGGTACAAAGGGTTGATTTTGGATCACTTGTTCCTAGTCATTGTGGTCTGGAGCATGCTGATTGTTGGTAACATTTCTTTTCTGTTTGTGGAGTTCCAAGGTCTCTTTTACCAGTAAGATTCATGTTAGGAATATAGGAGGAATGTGTTGCCTGTTGTGTTTGCTGTCCCCTAGTGGAGCCCTGGTTGTGGAGCAAAGAGGAGACAGTTCTTTGCATATTCCTTTGTTACAGCATCTCATTCAGTTGCTCAGTTGGGTTTGTACTGAAGGGGAATGCTTCAAAGTAGAATCGGTTGTTCTATATCCATCTATTACAGCAATTCTCATGAAAAATATTGTAAAACTTCGCATCTTTATGGAAATGACAATTGTATAAGGAGTAAGTTGAGAATATGTGCCATTTGGAATGAAGAGGAGCATAAGAGAACGTTAATGTTGTATCTCAGAAGTGTGCTGTAAATAACGAAAGGAAAACAATTGCTTCATGTTTCTAAGAGTAATGTGGCATGTTTTTTAAATTTTAATTTTTTTTTGTGAGACAGAGATGAGAGACGCCCATTTACAGATCGAAGTCTTTACACAGCAGATAGTGAAGATGAAGATGACAGGACAAGGTCGAAAAAGATGACTGTTAAGGTAGAAGAGCAGCCCTCAGGATCTGAAGAAGCCAATGCAGATGCCCAGAAACCACTGAACAGTAAGCTTGTCTCTGAGTCCTGTCAGCTGAACCATAGAATCACAGAATGTCTGGGCTGGAAGGGACCTTCAAAGGTCCTCTAGTCCAACCTCCCCACCATAAGCAGGGACATCTCTAAATAAGCAGGGACATCTCCAAGAACATTTTGATTATCTTGAAGAGGGTCTAACTATAGTGAAGACTAACTGACATTTTACCTAACTATACAGAGGATAAACTAATAGATCAGAGAAATAATATTAGAAGTACAACAAAACATTTGTCAAATATTTTCTGTCCACTGAAGAAACTAACAGGATAGAGCTGAAAAGTAAACCTCATCTTTTTGTGTTGGTGCCATCTTGACCACTGTGTCCACCATTTTTCGGAGTGGAGTCTAGATGAACACCAATTTGTCTGTTTTGTAATAAGAATGCTGATTTTTTTTTTTTTTTTTTTCTTGATCAATACATACTTCAGTGTGAAAAGTTCATTCATTGTAGAGGATAAAAGTTCATAATACGTAGCTAATTTTAAACCTCTCCTGTATTTCACTATTATGTACCATTTGGTGTTTACATACTTGATCATACGATATTGTATGTTTTGCTAATGAATAGGTTTTTTCCATAAAATTGATCAAACATAATCTAGCATTAAAAAAATATTGCAAGGCTGGGGAAGAATTTAGATTGTCTGTAAAATGCTTTAACCTCACTTTCTAATATTTTAAGCCATCCTTCGCTAGGAGTTAATCTTTATTTGTTCTTTCTGTAACGTCAAGACTTCCCACCAAGTGTTCAGCAGTGCTGATCACACAGTATATTAGTAAAGTACCAATACTGAATGCCTGTTTTCAGTGCCTATTTTAAATAGCACCGTCTGTATGCAGTGACAGATTGGTCATTACATAGCTGTTCAGCTCTCTGTTTAATTATAAAAATCACATCCTTTCACAGTAGAGCTTATAAGGGCTCAGAGAGTATGATGAAACTGAGGTCAACACTTAAAAGATAACAAGTCCCTTCTAGAGAATTAGAGTTCCCTTAGTTTCCTGTGCAGCAGTCCATAACAACACTTGAATCCATTGTCAGATAGGATAAAATATTCAGTTATTTTCATTAAAAGAGCAGTTTATGATCCCTATTAACTGTACTTCCAAAGGTCACAGAGGACAGTATTAAAAAACTTGCACAGGAAAGAGATACCTCTTGGGAAGCAACAAGGTAAATGGCTTGTTGAGTGAAAGGTTAAGTCTATGTGGTGTTTTTCCATTTTCAAAATAAAGCTCAGTAAATTGAACTAAGCTTTACACTTGAATCAAAGATCAAATCATACAGAGAAATCATAGATTTTCTTTAAAATTGTTGGTATTCTTTGATACGGAATGAATATGGCAGGGTGTATCTAAAGGTAAGAAATTTAACTTAGATGTAAAAGTGAGTCTTGAGATTGTTGTGCCAGAAACCGAGTACTCGATACTATGGCTAATACTTGTAATTAAATAGTGAGAGTCTTCAAACTTCCCTATTAAAGTTCACCTACATTTGATTATTTTGTGTTAACGGGAGAGAAAGAGAGAGGATACTCTTCTGCCAAGAATTCCATAAAAGGAACTACCTGTCTCCAGAACAACTGCCACCCTCCATTGTTCTTACTGGGATTTAGGCCAAGAGGCAATGTCCACAGAGAGATGCCTTTAAACAGATCAAGCTCTGTATAGCTTTGTGTATCATGCCAAGACCCTGCTTCTAAATGGTGACTCAGTGTTATCAGAGAGACAAAGATCAAGTGCTGTGCTTAATAGAGCAAGATACTTTGTGTGGATGAAGGGAAGGTGTTTTAAGATATTTTTTTTGAGTTCACAGTAGCTTAGCATCTGATTTTACAGGTAACGCCTGCTTTCATTCACCTGATTTCTGGAGTGTTCCTCCCAGTCTCTGGAAGTACGCAGAGACACAACTTTATCTGAGAGTAGGCTGGTTCACTGTAAAGTAACAACTGTAATTACCAGCGTAATTCACAAAAACAACCACAATAAAAAAAGCATTAGACTGTGTTTCTTATAAAGCTCAGTTACAAATTCCATTCATGGATGAAGACGTGAGGCTCCTGTTAATACATAACCTGAATATAAGGCAGAAAAAAAATTGGGTAGGTATTATTCTCTGATTGCGTTGTGGAGAGCTTGCAAGATAAAGGAGCAGTAAAAATGGTCAGTGGTTTGGCTGCATATAGGAATATTGGCAAAGCCAAACTGGATCAGATCTGGGGCTCATACACTGTGTTATGTCATATGTGCCAGTATGCAGCCCCAAATGAACCAGGAATGTCTCAGTAATGTTAGGTGGCTGTAGCTGTTCAGTGTAGATCATCTTACCAGATAGTGGGCAGATTACAAATAATTATTCCCCTTTAGTAAGGTATCATCAGTTAATCTCTGTGAGGAGACAAGAGGGCTTCTGAAGTATGTGACTCTGTATTCATTGCTTTTATAAATCTAGTATTATCTGTATATAGCTGATTATGTACAGGTCCAGTTTCTTTTCTGTCTTGCCAAATCATTTGCCTCCTTATAAGAAGACTCACATTTCTTCTTCATAGTTTTTTCATTTTAATAGTTAGTTTTCCAGTTCCTTGAGACAGAGAAGTTCCTGAAGAGCCGTTGTGAAATTTGTTTATTTTAAAATTGTGGTTCATGATTTACACATTAATTTTTGCCTAAGATCTGAAGCTCCACATGTGAGCATATTTAGATATCTTTAATTGGTCTAATTAGTCTTGCGCCTTCCTTTAAATTGTCTCTGTTTGGAGCAGTTTATTTTTTTCCTTGAAAAATGTGGTAGTCCAAAGAAAATTAATTTGAGCTATAGAACAGTATTATTGTCTCTGTCATTCATATGCTGTTGCTTTTCCTAGAATTTTGTTTGCCTTTTTGAAATGAGCTGAAGGCTTGAATTATCAGAAATCCGTTGGGTTTTTTTTTGATCTACAGTAATTTAGAATATTCATTTTATTGTCATCTGCTGAGCGTTACTTCGTTTAGCTTAACTTTATACACAATGTTGCTGCTTATTTACTGTGTTTAGATATTTTTTACAGTTCTTTCTAATACTGTCTTAAGTTTAATTAGTCTTCTCTCAATTTTGGTCCCAGCCGTTCATTTTTTTCTATTTCTGGTAATCTGTCTCACTCTTACTGTTCTTCTGACTATAAAAATAATTTCCAGTTATGTTTAGAAATCAATAATATATTTTCAAAAATATTTGGTGCCTATTTATAAGCCTTCCCACAGTCTAGAGTAGGAACAAAATCCTATTGCAATTGCAGTGTAGACAGGGTTTACAGGTACATCTTTTATGCTTGCATAATTGATGAGTCAAGAAGAATTGTCTTCTGCTTATGGAATTTCATATAAAACTGCTGAAAGCAAACTCACACAGGGCAATTAGCTCTGGAGTGAAAACAAGTTTCAATGTTGGTTTGTCTTCAGCATCGTTCTGTATGAAACTGTAAATACTTGAAAACCTAAAGTTATGTTACTTTCTTTACCTGCTACCTTCTTGACTCACATTCATGAAGATATTCTATTTGGTTTTATCTGAAAACTTTGCTAGTTAAACTGCATGTTATAGTCTTTCACAGATTTGCACTGAATCAAGATTTCTGCCAGCAGACTTGACACAGGTACACATAGAGCCCACTGACCTTGAGGCTTGGATTTCAAACACTTGCAAATGTGTGTTCCTACTCATGGTTGGTTGGGACATATGCTGTACTTTAAGAATGCATTCTTCAGAGGGCTGCTCAACTACTTCATGTTTGAGTTCTTTCAGCACTTAAGTAAGCCATGTGGACTAGGTGGCTGATTTGATTGATTGCTTTGTCGTGCATCAGTGTTTTTGAGTCCTTTTTGACACCTCAATTTCCAGTTAGTGTATGGTTGATATATCCTCTCCTTGTCCTTTTCAGGTCTTTCTGTGATGAAAACCAATGCAAATATGCTGTGTATCATCACAGTAATATTTTAATAGGGTCTGCATTTTAACCCTGACAGGTAGCTCTGTAGTAGCACAAGTCAGGCAGAATATGCCAGTAAATTGTGGTGTAAAAGTAAAATTGCACATAATGCAGTCTTTTTTTTTTTTTTTTAACCAACTTAATATCCTCTGACTTCCATGTTTAGTGTTTCTGTATAACTGCTGTTTTTTTTAAAAAAGGACATTCCAGGGTCAAAAAGTCTAAGACAAAGTGATATTGAAGATTACTTCAAATTAACTTTTCTGACTCCAGTCTATATACAAAAGCAGAAATTACCCAAGGTGTGACATCTGTGGAGTTTGTGCCCTGTGGGAGAGAGAAAAATATACACTTCTGCTGTACTGATTTCTCTTTCTCTGGCTTCATTCAGTCTGTCACTCAAGGAGTCTATTGGTCAGCAGTAGGCACCTCACTAGAGTTTTAAGCAAACTTGGCTTGTGAATCAGATCAATGTGTGGATGTGCTTTTATTTGCAGACTGTTAAAAACTGAATATGCATTTCTTGTTCTTTACTTCCAAAAGAGTTGTTAATTATTATATGTAATAAATGTTGAGGCTTACATTTTAATTTTTCTTTCTACAGTGTTCTTTGAAAGTGTGAAATCAGAACTCAGGAATGGATCCTCAGAGTACTCTGATATTTCTGATTCAGAAGAATCTGAGCCTGATTGCACTACACAGGTACAACTAGAAAGAGTCACAAAAGCTAACAAAGCAATTACATATAATTTTGCTCACCCACTTCAAATTTACCTGGTCAAACTTTGTGGTAAAAGAGCAATAACAAAGTATTTCATTATTGTTCAAATTAATACCTTATCTAGATGTTGGAATAAGTGGTAGGGGCCTTTATGATGTTGGCTGCGTCTGCTTTCCTAAACTACATTGTTGGCAGCTTTGACTCAGCAAACTTCTTTTTTTAAGACAGAATCAATAGTTATTCAGAAGTGATATTTCTTCACAGGATAATGTAGCCAGTTTTGGATGACATGGTCATTGAATGAAATGTTTTATATTAACGCTATTTACTCAGTTCCATCTATATTTTTCTGCCTCTAAATTCGTAGTAGTATCTTTGGAATAATTTTTCTTCACATTTAAATTTGTCTTTTGTAATGATGTATCCAAAATGAACAGTCTCCCTAGCTTCTGTAAATCTTTTTTATGTTTTTATGTTGCACCAAAGATGATCTCAACAAAACAAGATAATAGCTTTATTACTAACGTTGAGTCATAGTTATGATTGAATTGCCCATTTGTGTTACTTTCCAAGTGTCAGAGATGAACAAGCTGCTCTTGTGAATGAGGCTGTTGTATAAAAACATCCCTTGGTGATACAATGCACTTCATTCACTCAAGTTCCAGTTTTTATGATAGGGATAGTGGTGTCAGTCTTGAAGGACTATGATCCTTCTATGTTCTCATCTTCCACTTCCAACACTTTTTGAATGCCATGTATTAGCTTGAAAAAATAAATTGTGGTGTTCCCTGTGCTTGTTAAAAATAGATTAGTCTGAATTACCAAGATGGAACATATCTATTGTAGCCCTTGCTTCACATAAAGACATATTGGAGCAACCACAAGTGACTCAACTTTGAAAAGCTCCTGCTCATACAAGCTGTAATCTCAGCAGAAGCTGAAAAGCCCTTTCATTCATGAAATGAGGCTGTGCCACTGGAAGAGAGGCAACAGCTGTTGTGTATCTCTTCCTGCTGTGCTCTGGATTTACATGAGAGCTTCTGTCACTCATCAGAGAGATGCTGTTTGCTGAAAGTTGTCTTTTGTGCGAGCAGGAACCAGAAACAGTTGAGGCAGGATGTGTCCCGTTACATGTAATAGACATCCATTCTGGCTGCTGCTTCAAACCTTAATTCCATATTTTTTCCTCTACTTTGAATATTGGAGATAAGAGTAAATAATGCACTCTTTACAGAGACTACAATGATTTGTGCGTGGTTTAATGGGTGTAGTGTTTCGCCTAAGAAAATGAGTTTCAGAGATGCTTTCTGTATTGCTGGAGTTATGTACTCATCAGTGTTAAAAAATTTGGATATTTAGCGTCTCAGTTGCTATATTCAAATTAAGTGCAAGAAGTTGGACCTGGAAGTTTTTGTGTTTTTTACTTAACATAAATTAAAGTAGCATCTCTATTTAGGAGACATGGTGACCATTCTGTGTGCTGTTTCCTCTTGTTTCAGCAGAAAGATTCCTTCACAGAGGAGTCAGAAAGCTCAGGTGATGAAGAGAAGCAGGAAGTAACATCAAATTTCAAAGAGGAATCTAAGGTCACAAGAGACCTTTGTCAAAACACCCAGAAGCCATCCAGAAATGAAACTCCCAGTAAAAAGTAAGCACATTATGGCATGTGTTCATAAACTGTTCAACCTTTTCACACATATTTACAATTCTGCTTTATAACAATGTTAAAATAATTCTTTCAGAGAAATACAGTGGTTTATTTCAAACTGCTTAATACTCCTTTATTTTTCTAGGGAATGTCCTACCTCGACAAGTACAGAAGAAGAAGCTATTCAGGGCATGCTTTCAATGGCAGGATTGCACTATACTACATGTTTACCAGGTCATACTCAAAGCACAGACTGCACAGGTAAAAGAACCTCTCTTCAGGAACACAGAAGCTACCCCAGGAGCCGACATAAAGACCGACAGCCATCTCAGAGCCACAGAACAATAGAATGTGGTAAGTATCTGAATTAATGACACTGCTGTTCTCTGCTCTGGATCAAACTGCTCAGAATAAGCACTTAAAGTTAAATTTTTATATTTGCAGTCAAGATGTTAAGTAAATGAGACCAATATTTTGAAAGGCCAGAGTTTTGGGTGATTGTGTTTTTGTGTGTGGGTTTGTAGTGTTTTTTTCCCCCCCCCCTACAAAACCTAAATGTTACTTCTGAAAACTGAGACAAACTTATCTTGAGAGGTCATCAGAATACATCTAAATACTGCCATCTAAAAGTTTTGTGGCATCCTTAGAAGAGTGACAAATTTCTGGCTAGATTGAAAGTATAGTGTCCTTATTGGAAGTGTCATCTCCTTCAGGAAAGATTGATAGAACCTTCATGTTTGCAACTTTCATGGTATGCATGCTAGTTAGATATCTATAGAAATCTACTTGGTTATTTTTTCATGTGTCTTTGACTTTGTTCTTGAAATTCTGCTATGAATGCAGTGCATTGAAGGAGATTGTAATCTTGAAGAGGAGAATTCAGAGGTAATATTTCTGGTCAGTGGAATTCTGATGTCTGTGGGAAACAGGCATCTATTAAATGCATTTTGGGAATGATGGCAGAACATTAACACTGATCACCTCAAAGGAATCAAAATGACTTCTTCAAACAGAGAGGAAGAGAGTAATTATGTTTGAAAATTCTTTGCTTTATGAAAAACCTAATAGCCAGGTTTCTAAATTGAGGTGGGTTGGCTCAGGCCAGCAGCAGCAGCAGCACCCACAAATTCCTGTGGGATGGGGGAGAAAATAGAAAGAGCAAAAGTGAGAAGGCTCATGGGTTGGCATAAAAATAGTTTAAGTGAAGGAAAGAGGAAAATAAACAAGTGGTGCAAAGGCAATCACTTGGAGCCTTCTGCAAGCAGACTCTGAGCAACCGACTGCCTTGGAGGACTGACTGCCTTTCTCCCCAGCCTCTTCCTCCACCCCAGTTTTTATTGCTGAGCATATTGTTACATGGTATGGAATATCCCTTTTGGCCAGTTCAAGCCGGCTGTCCTGGCTGTGCCCCCTCCCTATCTCTTGCCTACCCCTCGCCTACTTAATGCAGGGAGCAGAGTGGGAAAAGCTGTGACCCTGTGCGAGCACTATTCAGCAACAACCAAACTTTTGGTGTGTTATCAACACTGTTTTAGCCACAAATCTAAAATATAGCACCATATGGACTGCTAGGAAAAAATTCTGTTCCAGTCAGACTTAGTGCATGTGCCACATTTCACGGGTGAAGAAGATAAAACTGTGCTTCTTAGCTAGCAGCTTTTGCAAAACCTTTTGGTCTCTCCAAACTTAAAGTGGTGTCTTGGGTTACCCTTAATTTTACAAATTAAATGTATTGTAAATGTGTTTTCAATGTGGACACTTCTTCTATAGGCCTGTTAGCATAGTTCTTCCCTCCTGAACAGCGTGTCAGTGCTTAGAAACAATATAGTCAATAATACCTGCAAATTAAATGTCCATCTTTGTATGAACTCCTCATGGTACAAAGCCATGGTAGAAAACTGTAGTGTAACAAAACGTAAGCTGTCTTCAACATCAGTGCTTTCAAATATGAGTGCCTATATTTGTCTGACCTTCTTGCTGTGGCATATGGCTCTTTAATTAGGTTTATTTGTACTGTGAGATTGTTTTCCTCATTTAGTGTGTGGAACCAAGCAGCTCTGAGAAATTTTATTTTGTATCTAGGAAATATTGTTCATTGTGTTTTCCTTCCCTTTTTTTTTTTTTTTCATTTTAAAGTTATTTAAATGTATAATTAATTTTGTATTACTAATTATAGGTTTTAAAATTGAAGCTTGTTGAACTTCTTTTCAGGCAGGTCTGTGAAGGAAGAGGAAGGAGACTTGGGGACTTCAGCATGGGCTAGACACCTGAATGAAGCTTCGAGGATTACCCCTCAGGTAAAGCAATACTTCAAACATTTTGAACACATTTTTGTATAAGAAAAAGAGATCATGAAGCTCTGAGTACACACAGCATGGTGGCCAGGTCTTTCCACAATGCGTGTCTGATAACAGATACTTGTGGTTCTGGTAACCGAATAGTATATTTTTGTCAATTTTTTTTTTTTTCATTGTTGTTTTGTTTTTTTTTCTTTTCCTTTCAAACTCTCTTCTGTCATAGTGGCTAGCAGTAAGATGCTTAGGGTGGTATCTTGAAAAATAAAAAATACTTGATAAAAAAATGTAAATTTACATTCAGTCTAACTGGGGAAGAACTGTATTGCTTACACATTGTTATTCCCAACCAGAGCATCAGAACAAGTGGAACCTATTGATAGTATTTATAGTAAAGATAGACTTGCTTAGGAAATTGGTACTGCCAAACTGATACAGCCTTTCAAGAGCCAGCAGGTAGGAAAGTTTTTGCTCTCTGATGTCCAGGTAGGATCCAGCAAGGAATATATAAACAAAAGGTTGTGCATCTTATACGCTAGGTTTTTTTTGTACTTCTAAATTTGTCTATATTAAAACTATTAGAACAATTAAACAGAACAATTAAAGTTGCAAAACAACAGTGGTATTTAATAGCTGTATTTTAACTGTATGCTTTGTAGTTTTTTTGTAAGAGTATCTAACTACATGATATTCCTTAAAGTTTGTAATTCTCAATTTTACATTTTTTCTCTCATCAGCTGAATATTGAAAGCAAATTGCCTGTTTTAGTGGTCAATGGTTATGGTATGGCTTGCTATAGCAGCCAGTTTAATCAAGAGCAGTTGCATTTGTTTTGATCTCAGCTAACTAAAACCAAAAAACAGAGAAATTGAGCATGCTAATATGTGTAATTAATCTACAGCATTGCACTTCAGTGTGTATGGAAAAACTTGCATGGAGATACTGTACTGTATCTTATTTTTAAGAAATTTCTATGCTAAAAGAAATGATGGAATCATAAAGTAGTCAGACACTGGTAGAAGTGAAATATCTTTTTCAAAGATACAGTGGTATAATTAGAAAAACTGGAGTTTTTCTGCAGACTATAACTTGTAGCCAGGCAGTTTTAACTTCTATTTTTTTCCTTCTCATTTCCATACTAGGATACAAGTAAAACTCAAAAATATACCAAGGCATCAGAAGCCAATCATAAAGTTCAGGAAAACAGAAGTGTGGTCCACAACAACAGCCTGAGCTTTCAGCATGGCAAGTACACACGAGACTCCAATCTAATCCAAGGAGAGTGTCGGCTGAGTGATGGCAGCCTTAGCCCTGACAGGCCCTATGGTGAAACGTCTTTGTCTGTGCCACTTCATCCAACAAAGAGGCCAGCAGCAAATCCACCCCCAATCAGCAACCAGGCGACAAAAGGTAAAGTTTGCCTCTGTCCTTGTGACAAAGTGAAGAGGAAAAAAAAAAAGATTAGGAAAAGGAGCTTGTAAACATCAAAAAGAGCTCTTAAATGCAGATGAGGGGAAAAAAAAAAAGACATGCTTAGATCTTGAGAAAAAATATGAAATGGGCATTCTGTGGACACTCGGATTTTGTCATAGAATGTGTGGAGGTGGAATTAAGACAGCTCTAACTGGGTGGGTCGCCAGATGAAACTTTCATAGCTACTGGTGCATCTCTGCAGGTGTATGTTACGCATTTATTACAGGGAACAGAACCACAACTATACTCTGAAATGCTGGCCTGAATCAGATTTGGTTGTGAAAGTGAAGGCTTAAAAGCTATGACACTTCAAAAAATAGCCTGATGATCATACTATTTAGTTTTTAGTTTCTAGTTTATTTTCTATAATTTACACAAGGGAATAATTTACTTGAGCAAAATCCACTAAGCTCACTTTTAGGTTCTCCTCTACCACTCTCACTGTCTTTAAAAAAAGAAACATTTGTAAATAGTGTGATAATTTTGTTCATGATAATGCCAGCCAGAGGTAGGGAAAATAATTCCTGGTGTTTTTTGCAGGTCTGAGTCACAAATAAATAAGAACTGTTGCTTCACAAATGAAGAATGGTTCTTTCTGCTGTTGTTTGTTTTGTTTTTTTTTTTTAAACTAATGGAGGTGAAAAATTTGTCTGCTTCAGCTTGAAAGCCAGGTTTTGTCTTTGCGATGATAACTTAAGATAATTACGATGACAAAAATTTGTTCTGGAGTTCCTGATGGAGTACTTGATTTCATTTTTCAGGCAAACGTCCAAAGAAAGGAATGGCCACTGCTAAACAGCGCCTCGGGAAGATCCTGAAGCTGAACCGGAACGGCCATGCACGCTTCTTTGTTTAATGTAGCTGCTACTTTTACTACTGCTGTCTTTCCTACACAGACCAGTATTGAGGGCAACAGAGCCTGGAGCTGCTGTTATTCCTCTGCTTGAAGCAGACTTGCATGTACCATATAAAACACTGCCTGATGAACAAAAATGAGAAAGAAAAGAAAAAAAAAAAAAGGAAAAAAAAGAAAAAAACAAAAAAAGAAAAAACAACCCAATGCTGCATTTTCACTGTGCCACACCTGCTCAGCAATAACCATATGGGAATGGGGGAATCTTCAGAGAGACATGGACTGTGAGATATAGTCTCTCATCAGGGCTTTGAATATCATTTGTTGCTGGTAGTTTCTGACCTAATTAACGAGGGGAAGATGATGAAGGTGGTTTATCAATAATTTATTTCTGATAGATTTTGTCAACTTTTAAATTCATTTAAGAAACCTATTTATTTGGAAAACTTTTGTGGAGGTTATTAATTTAGATTTAAGAATGTGAAAGTTTTAATTGTTTTGATAATGTATGTTTGGTGCAGTGGAGAGCCACATTAATTGTGATTAGTCTGGACTCCTAAATTTGATATTCAGATTATAGTCTTAAATAGAGGTGAGATGCATTATTAATTATTTTTTAAGTTAAGGCATATGGAATCTTATTTTTTTTTCCTGCTTTTTGTAAACTATTGGCTGGGCTTCTGTTGACTTGAAAGTTGCATATTGTCTGCCAGCTTGATTATTTTTTGACCTGTCCTCTTTTAATAGAGATTTATTTATTTGATGTATTAGAAGAGACTCCTAAAGACAGAAGAATCTTCTTGTGTCAGTCCAGTAGCTAACAAGTTTCAAATGACACCCCTTTCCTCCAAACTGGAGTGTGTAACTTTCCTTCTGATGATCTGTCTGTGATGATTTCCTTTGGTAAAAAACCTCCCTGAAACTGTGTTTGTACAGGTTATTTAAGGGTTGGTACAAAGGTGGGAAACACCATATATCTTTTTGGAGGAATGGGGACATCAGTTAAGATAAATGTTTCTTCAGAACAATTACTCTGAAATAATTCATAAGATAAACATTGCAGTCTTAAGATTTGGCATATTCATGTAGCATGGAAGAAGCATTAAAGTTCAAATATTAATATTGTACTTTAAACATATTTGGCTGAAGAGTCAGGAAGGCAGGACAATGTGTTGCTTTCAAAGCTGGGCGAGACAGCCAATTAAAAGTCTTAACTGGTGCATATATAAGCATTAAGTAGCTTACTCGTATTAGACTGATCGTTTGTGTCAGGCTTCATACAGAGCCGATAGAAAATGCCAATTCTGAATTATTGTAAATAATTTTGATTTAAAATTTGTATTTTTCTGTAATATAAAATTAAATATTTAACTTTTAGGGGTTGGGGATGACGGCAGAAAGGGGGAATACTTTTACTTGATTCTGGAAAAAGGGCATTTTGCAGGGTCCAGCCAAAATGTAAAAATTAATATGCTAGTGACAACAATGTTGTTGGTTGTTTGGGTTTTTTTTTTGTTGCTGAAGAGTAAGAATACTTGGGCATAGCTATCCAAGTCATTGAACTGATGTAACTTTCCATACCAGTTTTTCCTTCCTCCATATTCTATACTGGAATAGTTTTCTCTTTTTGTAGTTTAAAAAGAAATTCAGGTGGGCTTTCCAGAATATTTATGCAGAGTTATTTTTGTCCAGGGTAGATTATGAATGCCTTTACAAATTTATGGAAAGAATTCTGAAGTCAGGAAGGTTTGATTGTTGCAGGGTCAAAACTATATAGCATGACATTATGCTGTTTTTAAACTGAGAAAGACTGCAACGTAATGCAGCTGCAAATAAGTCAGGTAGCTTTCGTAGCTTTACTTCTCTGCAGCTTGGAAATGATAACTTAAAAGTGCTTTTTGCAGCCCTGCTTCTACATTATATTGACTTGACTTTATAGTTCTATATGTGTGCATATGAGTGAAATTTTTATTTTTATTTTAATTTAATGCAAGCTATCAACTTTGTTTAGGCTATTGGAAATGGAGGTAAGAGAGGATTTCTAAAAAGCTGAAGATAAGCTAATGAGGTACTCTACAGGTGCTCAAAGTGACTATAAGTACTTGCTGTTCTCAGGTGCTATGTTTTCCAGATGGAAATAGTGAAAGAGGATATTTTCACTGTCTTCTAATATGTTCTCACCAAAGTAAGTCAAAGAAATAAACTATGCTGTCAATATTATTTAAAATTATATACACATTCTCTGTGCTTAAGCTTGAGCAAATGGATTAATGCCTGCCAGGCTTTGGAGACTGTTTTAGCTTTAGCATATTGAACCAAACTGTTTCCTTCTTGCTGGCTGTATAATTTTTAAGAATAGAAAATTCCAGTTTAGGGCAGGGATCAGATTCAGAGCAGAATGAAGAATGAGTGCTCTCTTAATAAAGGCAGGATTTTTAATACAATTATCTGAAATAGAAGTATGCCAGAATAGAATCTGGAGTAAGGAATTTTAAAATACGGCGTATGCTTTCTTAGACATGTGAGTGGCTTATACAGAGTCTCTTTTCTGACCATCTGCATTATTTATCTGTATCATACTGTTGGAACACAGATGTGGCTGGACCCATATATATTATTTCTCCCTGGCTTTATTCTTTCTTTACTTTCTACCTTTTATTTGTTTTCCAAGTGGCTCTCCACTGTTGTGGATTTATGTAATAGTCTCTTCACAGACTGTCAACAGGCAGAGGTTCATTCCCGTTTTCTTCAGATGTCCATGCTTCCAGCAGAAAATAATTCTGATGTTCCACCTCAGAACAAGTAATTTAAAAGAAATTGCCATGATAAGCAGTGTTTTTTAAAAAAAAAAAGGGGGGGGGAAAAAAAAGAAAAACAAAAGGGGGGAAAAAAGATCTTCTGGTAGCTCATGAAGAGGATGTGGTGACCTCACTTGTTTTGTGTACTTGTATGTAGGGATATTTTTGTTGTGTTCTAGATGAAAATACTACTGCGCCAATCTTTCTGTAGATGGACTGAACCTTATGTTTTTGTAGTGGAGAGAAAAAGCTCAATTTTTTTTCCTTGCTGTCTCACTTAGGGTGGAAGAGGGAGGGAGTAGGGAACACTGACTGGACAACAAAGAGAATTAAGCCTGCTATGGTAACTTGTTTTCAAGGATAATCTTTCTTAAAAAGTCAAGTAACTTGGATTTGGCATAAAACTTAAATTTTTTTCTAGACAGGACAACAGGAAATGAAATATTGTAAAGGTTTTCCCATTCTCTTAAGTTCTCATGTTCCTGCAATTGAAAACAAATGAAACAAACATGAAAATGGAAAGATCACCTAGAAACCATATCAAAGACTCTTCCAGCAACTTTCCCTTTTCTTCTACTATACTTGCTAATAAACCCTGGCTACAAGGTAGCCTTTGTTGACCTCTGAGGTAGGTTACCTATGCAACCTATAATGCTCCACATGAATCCATTCTTAAAGACAATTTTGAAAGGGTTAGATGTTGAGAGTTAAAATTGTTGCTTTCTGATCACATAGGGGGTTTGTTTTTTTTGGTGGTGAAGTGCTTGTGTTCCTTTCAGTAGAGATTTAAAGAGCACGGCATCATGATCACATTTAAGAAGCTTCAGCTTTCCCTAGGCATTAGCTGCCTTCATTCACAGTGCCATGCAGTTGTGAGCACCGACAATTTTTGCAGGGTTTCGGAGTCAGTGCTGATGTGAATCTTGCTACCCCCTTTTTGGTTCCTGTGGAGACTAAGCAGAACCAAAGCTACAACGACCTGGTACTGCAAGTCTGTAACTAGTGCCCTATTTAGGCTCCACGTGCCCACCTGTCTCTTCAGGTCCCCACCATGACCCCCAAATCTAGTGTCTTTCCAGAGTTTCATTCACATAATACTTCCAGACCATTAAAAGCTGTTCGAAGCTCTAGGGTTGAGTGGACCCAGAGCTGCTCTTTCACAGAAGAAATATAAATGGAACCAAGGGCCTTACTGTTGGTGGTTAAACAACATTAAAAGCTGCAACATCCATTTTTCAAAAAAAAAAAAAAAAAAAAAAACCCAACCCAAACACAACTCAACAGAAAACACCTAGTAACCCACTTTGTGGGAGCGTATGAGTGATAAATCGTGCAGTGGATGGGAAATATAAGTAGCACTGATAAGGAAATGCATGTTTTTCATAGGCTGCATTTCTGTTTGGGAAAAAAAAGAAAGACTTTTTCTACTTTTAATATAAATTAAGCCATAAGAGTTTCATGCTGTGGGAAGGGAATGAAAGGGATCACTTTAAGAGATTATATTGATATGTATTGTCACTTCTGCTGGGAAATGTCTATTGCTGCCAATGCTTTCGTGAATCTTTTTTTAAGAAAAAACAAGGAATTTGAAAAAAAAAAAAAAAAAAAAACACAAGAAAAAAAGAAAAAAAAGGGGCTAGTTCTTGGCTATATTTACTAGTTTTGTAGTAATGTTTTGCTGGCCCGTTTGTCTTTTCCTCTCCTTTTTCTACTCTCATAGTCTAATTTCTATCTTTCTTTCTGATGTCTCTGAAAATATTAGCTTGTCTGCTCAGTAGGGGTCGGTGTATGTGTGTCTTCCTTTTTACAGAAACGCACTACTGTGTTAAGTATTTGGCTGGGAAATGGGATGCTGCAGCTTTAAGAGCATTTTTTTCAATTCATAACAGTATTTCCCATCCTCTTTTGCCTGCAGGCAGGGAAAGTGTATGTACAGTATTTATTTTGTTTCAATTTTACTTTAAATTTGTAAGTTTCTAAAAGTAGTTGACATTGATTACTCTAGGGGAGGACGAGTGGCTTTGTTTAAATTTGTATTTGATATTCATAGTTTCCACTTTCTGTACTTTAAAATACTGAAATTAAAAAATTGTATTGCTTATGTTTTGATTTTAGCACTCTAAAGCGTTTAATTTCTTCGGACTTTTGCTCATTTGCTTCAGTGTAAATGCATAAAACTGTACAGAATATTGTGAGGAGAAAAATGCTTTCTAGGTCCAATCTTTGTGCCCTTTACTTGTCACATTTTAAAGAAGAAATTTTCTGGAGAAATGTGAGAAGGAATATTCTCCTACTGTTGTGTTGGTTTGGTTTGTTTGGGTTTTGTTTGTTTGGTTGTTTTT